GTGACATCACAGCTCACAGCAACCTCCAACTCCTGGACTCAAGTGAGTCACCTGCCTCAGCCTCCCAAGTAGCTAGGACTATAGTTGCCCACCACAACACCCAGCTATTTTTTGGTTGCAGCCATCATTGTTGTTTGGCGGGCCTGGGTTGGATTCAAACCCGCCACCTTAGGTGTGTGTGGCTGGTGCCAAGCCAGTTTTTCTATTTTTAGTAAAAACAGGGTCTCACTTTTGCTCAGGCTGGTCTTGAACTCGTGAGCTCAAGTAATCTACCTGCCTCAGCCTCCCAGGGTGCTAGGATTACAGGTCTGAACCACCATGCCCAGCCTAAAATATCATATTTCTAATACTATTTCATAGAAATACATTTAGGATATCCCATTTCTATTAAACCTTAAAATACTTTGTTCTAATGAATTACTTGATGTATGGAAAAATATTTTCCTTTATTAAAATTAAATTATGTATATTATAAAAAGCTTAACTGGAAATTATTTAAATTGTAAACAACCTATATCTCAGAGATGGGTATGACTAGATTATAATGTAATAATAGCTAATAACAGGGTTTTAAATTTTTTTATTATAGTAAGAGATTTTTCTCTTCTTAAGATTATGTAGCTTGCCATATTGTCATCCTTAATGCGAATACAAAGGCAAATTATGGAATTTTGAAGCTAACAAAGGCTTTAAAAATTTAACAAGAACTAATAGAACTAAAGCTACTTAATCAACTTAATTAAAATTATTAGACAAGAAAAAACAAAGAGAAAAGATACACCATATTTAAATCACCTAATTTTGAAATGAGTAAACTATTTTCTCACTTTGTTCTTACCTTTAGCATGACAAATTAAAGAGAAAGAAGCAGAGGATGATGGGTTTAAAAGGGAAAATACAGCAAAGACCATTACATAACGCTAAAAATTCCTTACAGAACTTTCACAGTACTTTTAAGGTTATTGACAAGCAAAGTAAACTATTTTGACCTGAAATAAATACAATAATTAGAAATTTGGAAGGCAATAATTATTAGCTCTAATCTTCATAACCAAATCCATTGACTTTTTTTCACTTCACAATTAAAAATGGTAAGTAACTTTCCATGCTCACATAGCGATGCTAATAAATAAATAAAAATAACCTCTAACAAGGGTTAATGATTTTAAAAAACCCAAAATAATTACAGTGTTTCTGCTTTTAATGTTAAGAAATGAAAGTTAACAGTATTTTATACTATTTAATGGTATATAATTTAAAACACAAATCAAAACAAACCTCTTCATAAAAATGTGGTCAACAAATACCCATACACAGTAAGAAACAATTAATAATTATATAGAAATACACTTAACCTCCCTAGGAACCAGGAAAATGCAAATAAAATGGTTTGGTTTTTGTTTTGGTTTTTAGCCTATCAGATTGCAACAGCTAAATTGTTGGCAAAGTTGTGGAAAAATTCACCAAAGAATGGCAGTATAATTGTGCATAGCCATTTCACACTGTAATTTGGGAGTAGCAAGTAAAACTTTAAATGTAGATTTCCCAGTAATTGTAGGTTTCAATATCACTCCAGGGAAATGGGAGAAAATGGAATTAAGGAATCATAAATAAACAAATGTATTTGATTATACATACACTTCATTGATTATATACCAACCTTCAGAAATTAAAATCCTACCAATAGGAGAATGGTGATATAAATTGTAATAAATTGATATATAAAAAGAATAATATTCAAAAGATAAAAATAAAGTGGATTAACAAGGCAAGAGCCTCATATCACATTGTTGCATATAAAAAGTAAACTCTTTTATGTTTAGTGCGTCTTCAAAAGTATTAGCTATTTATAGTGTATATGTGGATAGACAGAAAAGTTCACAGACTAATGACTCAAATATGTTAGAAGATGATTTATTTTTATGAAAGGGCATGTAATGAGAGAGGAGTTGTGATTGTCAAATGTTGTCTTTTATGGCAAAAATGCATTTATAAATCAATTATGTAAAAAAATAAAGTTAGGAGAAATAGAGCAGGAAATGGGTCTCTAGAATTACTCTGAGAAATTTACTACAGCCTCAATTTTTGATGAATATATGTATGGCCATTCTGAGACAAATAAGTACAGACAATAAAACCAAAAATTTTTAAATGAAGAAGAGAAAACAGTTCTCAAGTTTCTGGTCTATAAAAAGTTGTTTATTTCCTTCCTAATGGCTTCGATCTTTGCATTAAATTAATATGATTTAAAGATATTATTTTTATTAACCAACATTTTAGAAATCCAAAACATTTTGACTCATAATAATTACCTGAAAGTACTTGGGAATGCTTCTTTGCACAATAACATTTTCTTATGACTATCAAAGGCACACTTCCAGTTTTGTTGAAGTCTAGTTTCATAAAGGCCTAAATAGAGAAATGTTATTTTACTAACAATATCATTGGATATGAGAACCAGTTTTCTATTTTTCAGTAGGTTATTTCTTGAGCTATAAACACAACAGTCGAAAAATACGGGCTGGCATATGAAAGCAGCATCATAAATACAGCAGAGAAGATACTGAACCTGTAGACAAGTAGAAAGTCCCACCCTTTTTCTAGCATCTTGACTTTAAAAGGATCACCCAGCCTCTGTTTCCCTGGCTGCCCTCTTCAAACTGAAGAGCTGAGTCAAAGACCTCTCAGGTTACTCCTACATCTAGGACTTATAGGAAATAATAAGCGGTCATAACAAATTGCCAGGAGGACTATTTTACCTCAAAAAAATGAGCTTGCAAATATTTCATCGTTAAAATAAGGAGAAAGTGAAATACTTTTAAAATGAGCCTTGTTGCTCTACCTCTTAAAATTTAACACTACCTTTTGAAATAAGTTATTGCTACTCTAATGTAGTGTGATTCTGAGTATCACAAACTATTTCACTGGCAAGAAAATGAGGTACTTAGAAACATACAATCTACCCAAAGTAACATCCTACATTTGCAGAAGAGTCTATGAAACCAGTAGAAACACACACACACACACACACACACAGAGGAAAGAATTTAATTAAATTCAATTGGCAGGAGGAGGAGGAGGGACAGGGAATGGGGTGGGGGTCGCGGATTGGCAAACTCTTGTTAATGTGTACAGCGTCAGGGTACACAGCACCCGCCTTGGTGAAGAGCTCAACTACAACTTCGGCTTTGCCTAACAAACACAAACAATGTAAACCAATCCTTTGTACCCTCATATTAATCTGAAATAAAAATTAAAAAAGATAACCACACACAAAAAAAGGAGTCAAAACTAGAATGAAGTTTGTTTATTCACAATATTGAGTTCACAGAAATAAGGTACCCGTTGTAGAATAAACTGTGTTCCCCTAAAATTCGTATGTTGAATCCTAACTCCTAGGCCCTCAGAATATGATACTACTTGGAAAATGGGCCATAGGAGAGGTAGTAAAGCTAAAATGGGACCATTAGTGTGGGCTCTCATCCAGTATGACTGGTGTCCTTATATAGGGAGAGTGGGACACAAACCACACAGACAACGGGGAGACCATGTGGGACCCCTGAAAAGGTCCTCCCCTCCCCCCAAGCAAGCCAGGAGGAAGGGCCTCAAAAGAATCCAAACCTGTTGACGCCTGGTGTTTGGACTTCTAGCCTTTAGAGCTATGAAAAAAATAAATTTCTGCTGTTTAAGTTCCACCTAATTTGTGCTGTTTAAGTCCCCCCCAGTCTGTGGGACTTTGTTGTGACAGCCCAGGTGAACAGTCCTTTATAACCCTTCCTTTACCCTCTGTTCCCTATACCACGACTTACGAAAGAGATGAACCTCAGTTTCTAGTCCTGATGCTCAAACCTGTCACCAGAACATGTAATTACAAATAAGTACAAATCTATAAATATTATGTGGTAATTTTTTAAGGGTTTGTAAAATGTTTCTTGACCAGTAAAGATAGAGGTTTTGATTTTTTTTAGTTGAGATTTAAACTTGATATAATTATTTATACTACTGTATACACGATATCGTTGTTTCAACATTAGTTACCTATATATTTTATATTAAGTACATATGCAAAAGAAAAAGAGAACTACATTGCTCAAAGGCAGGTGTCCTCAAAGTACGGCCCGCGGGCCACATGCAGCCCGCCTAAGACATTTATCTGGCCCATTGGGTGTTTTTGTCACCGCTGCCTGTTCTGCTTAGCAGCCAACTCATCCTGGGCCTGCAGTCTGGCCCTCCAACGGTCTGAGGGACAGTGAACTGGCCCCTTGTTTGAAAAGTTTGAGGACCCCTGCTCAAAGGTACACTCTAAAAATGGCTACCATAACCCTAGTAATATGTAGTTTCATATAAAAATCAGGGCCCCTGTGTTTAACTCCAATTTATTAATAACATGATCATTTTAACCTTTTTTTAATATTTAACATGCATATTATAAAAACCAGGGAAATGAAATATACTGGGCATTGACACTAAGAATTTTATATTTATTATCTCCTTTCAACCCTTATACTAACTCTATGAAATAGGAACTGAAACTCAGAAGTATTTTATAATGCACATAGTCATGTAGCTAGTAATTTATGAAGCTATTAATTTGCTAACCAAGATCTGATTTCAAATTTTCCTTTATTTTTATAGTATTTTTCTAAAACATATGCATAGGCTAATTTGCTTTATTTTGGGTACAACTGCACACATATGGGCTTGCTTGTTTTGTGTTTTATTGGGTAAATAGATTTAAACTTTTTAAATGATAACTCATTACAGATTTAAAATAACCAACCTAACAACTATTAAAAGTAGCAATTTGAAAGGTTACTTAACAGAATTACCTTTCGAACAAATGATTTCCTGTATTCATTCATTTCACCAAAAAGGACACGTTTAAATTCTCCATAATCAACTCTGCCATTGCCATTACCATGGACATTCAGAATTAACCATAAAGACTCAAAATCCTAGAAATAATAAGAGATCACTGTTACATTTTTAAGTCAAGAAAATCACCATAGTCATATTTTGTTACATCTTTTGTAACCCTAGATAAGACAGCTTTTATAAGAAGAAAGTTCAAAATGTTACATATAAACCCAATCAAAGCCATGAAGAAAGCTGTTTTAAGAGAAATCTGTGGTGAACAGTTCTATAAAATTAGGAGCCATTTAGAAGTGACAATAGGCCCCAAATTTATCTTTTTAAGTTTTATTTTATTTTTGATTGACAAATGATAATAGTATATATTTACAAAATACAATGCAATGTTTTAATACATATATACACTGGAGAATGATCAAAACAGTCCAATTAATATTCTCTGTCAGCTTAAATATCTATCATTCCTTTGAGATGAGAACATTTAAAATCCTCTTTCATAGCTACTTCAAAATGCACATTATTATTAGCTATAATCACTATCTCATGCAAGAGATCACCAGAACTTATTCCACTGTCTAAAAGTCTTTGTACCCTTGGACCAGTTTCTCTTCTTTCCCTGTATAACCCCTTGCTTGAGCACTCTGGTAACAGATCTATCATTTTGAGTTCAATTTCCTTCTATACAAATATGCACGTGTGCATGTGTCAGGGATGCCAAGAAACGTCAGCATGCTCTAAGAGACATCATCTATGCGTTACTTTCAAAGTTGAACTGAATTACAGTAGCAAGGTGTGGTATGACATTCACTCAAAAGATGATGTTAATCAAGTGAATGCCACTGTCACCAAGAGACAGGCAGGGCAGTCAAAGAAAATGGCAGAAGCGAGGAGCACAAGACCGTTTTGAAGTGGTATTTAAAATTCAAGAGTGTTGTGGAAGTACCACAAGATGGTGGAGGCTGAGTATGGGGGCCTGAGAGGACGTGGGGAGGAGCAGAAAACCAGCTACACTGCAGCACTTTGGGGAG